GACATGCCCAAAACCCAGATTTTATGTGCTCTTCTTGTAGCTAGTGGTCCCCTGAACAAGTATGTGAATTTTCATCAAGATTGGGCAAAAAATGACTGAGTTATGAGCCAAAAACCATATGACCATATTTTGGGCATACGCACCAAATTTGATCAATTTTGGCATATAAATTGGTCAAATATCAATATTTTTGAATGAAACCAACTTTATATGAAAGGTAAGCTTAAACTACACATTCTCTATGATTATCAGCTCAGTATCTACCTAACTGTGGATTCTGTGTTCAAATAATCACAAAAATGAACTAAATCGTCCATATCTCAGTTCGCGATATTTGCAAAACTGATTTCGCTCAAAACAATAGAACTCAATAGGGTTTCAATATTTTTACATGAAATTTTCAGAATCAACGTAGAATCGCATTTCGACCTTATCTCTTGTATTGAAATTTTGAGTTAGGCCTTTAAAAAAATTTGGCGGCCAAATTCTGTAAAATGCCTGGCAAATTTTGGAATTTGGCCGCCAAATTTTTTTAAAGGCCTAACTCAAAATTTATGGGCCAAAATCGATCAAATTTGGTGCGTATGCCCAAATATGGTCATATGGTTTTTGGCTCATAACTCAGTAATTTTTTGCCCAATCTTGATGAAAATTCATAATACTTTGTATTATTTATTCATTAAAACGGTATAGTAAACTTGTTGATAAAATTTGTTCCCTTAGTCTGGCCTTCATTGTTATATTTCCTTGCCTAATAGGGGGGGGGGGGGCTAATACCAACTCTTCATAGAGGGGGGGGGGGGGGGGGGGCTAATACCAACTCTTCATAGCTATAGGGGGGGGGGGCTAATACCAACTCTTCATAGGGAGGGGGGGGGGGGGCTATTACCAACTCTTCATAGGGAGGGGGGGGGATATTACCAACTCTTCATAGGGAGGGGGGGGGCTATTACCAACTCTTCATAGCTATAGGGGGGGGGGGGGGCTAATACCAACTCTTCATAGAGGGGGGGGGGGGCTAATACCAACTCTTCATAGCTATAGGGGGGGGGGGCTAATACCAACTCTTCATAGAGGGGGGGGGGGGCTAATACCAACTCTTCATAGCTATAGGGGGGGGGGGGGCTAATACCAACTCTTCATAGGGAGGGGGGGGGGGCTATTACCAACTCTTCATAAGGAGGGGGGGGGCTATTACCAACTCTTCATAGGGAGGGGGGGGCTATTACCAACTTTTCATAGGGAGGGGGGGGGGGCTATTACCAACTCTTCATAGGGAGGGGGGGGTGGGGCTATTACCAACTCTTCATAGCTATAGGGAGGGGGGGGGCTATTACCAACTCTTCTTAGGGAGGGGGGGGGGCTAATACCAACTGTTCATAGGGAGGGGGGGGGGCTAATACCAACTCTTCATAGGGAGGGGGGGGGCTAATACCAACTCTTCATAGGGAGGGGGGGGGGGGGCTAATACCAACTCTTCATAGGGAGGGGGGGGGGGCTAATACCAACTCTTCATAGGGAGGGGGGGGCTATTACCAACTCTTCATAGCTATTAGCTATATCATTGTTTTTAGGGAGTAACCGACTCCGTGCCCTTACACCTGATAATGATAGACGAGATTGCAAATAACCATCCTCTACATCACGAAACAGTGTTTGAGTTTCTAAAACCACTCTTTGAGCGATCCCATGAACATTTACAGGTTCGATTATTTGAAGAATTTATAACTTATTTTAGCTAAACTAGTATGTTAGACTCCGGTGAATTTAAATTAAATAAATGTTCTTATCTAAGTCTAACACCAAGTTTGTCTTTAATTAAAGTCCCATTATACTACGCGTTATTTGCAATCTTATTGAAAACGAATCGAAATGCTACTATTAAAGGATGAGGGGACCTTAGAATTTACTTCCAAATATTCGCGTTTAAGTCCTGTGAAAGTGTGTAGAATCAAAAAATACGCCGGACTGTGAAATCGATAATTCGTGCAATATCACGCCGCGCTCCTATTGGCTGATAGCAATTTTGGGCTGTGACGTCACTTATGTGTTAAGACCAACGTGCGCGCGCACCCTTTCACCTTTGCTCGTGTCAACATTTTGTTTTCTGTTCTGTTTTAATTACGTCGTGTTACCTTTGGCGTTTGCGAGAGCGGTATCTTTGGTTGCACTGAATTAGTCTAAGTTACGAATAATTCTCTTTAATAATAATAGTTAAATGTAACTCAGAAAGGCTTTCTTGTAGTTGTAGTAGGTATTTCTATTTATAAATAGCTAAGATAAGTAGCATCCGCTAACTAAACCACAAACTGCTATTTTGTTTTGACTTGTTTGAAACCCGATATGGACACAATTAAAAAGAATGTATGATGTAGTAGAAGACATTTTACTAGCTGGCCCTTGGCGCCTCTAGTCCTATCTGAGTACGCACGTGCGGTTTGACACTGCGCGTGTACCGGCCTTTAGTTGTACACTCATTTATAATTTACCGTTTTAGTTTGCTGTGACTTGAATGTAAAGCGTAACGAATGTGGATGTATTCGTCTGCTATGCTTGGTATAATATTGCTTGGTGTAATAGTTGCAAATCTTGCTTACGTTATAAGTAGTGTCACATAGTGAGTTAGAACTTTTAAAGCTTGGTGCTTGGTGCTTGTCCAACTGGAATGAAGACATGCATTTCATACCTACCCGATCCATTTTTATTAGGACCGTGTTGTGTTGATATGACATGTTGATATATCAACTGTGGTACGAAACAGGGAGTTGCTAGGTGTTACGTTGGGAGCTATAAATATACATAATTTACATGCCTTTCTGTGTGACTTCAATCTTATTCCAGGTGTATCTCGGCTCATGGTTATCGTAGGGTGATAATTCTTTTTTCAACCGGTCATAAAAAGTCTCCTCTCCATTGGACATAGGCTCGTTCGTATCGTAAATTGTTAATGTATTCTTAATTAGTAATTTAGTCGGCCCGCACGCTCATTTTACCTGTATTTCTATATGCGCGGATCAGAGCAACTCACATAATTGACGTCACAGGTTCAAATTGTTTTAGCTGGATATCTCGGCGCGCGAATGAAATACAACTTTGCGGATTTCACTAAAGTGGTTTATACGATTAATGTAATAAAAGGATTTGCACGAGAAAAAAACTTTTTCTAAGGTCCCCTCATCCTTTAATCCTCATTATTGAATATGTAATACCCTTATTACCAATGTAATATGTAAACTTCACTGACAAAGCGTTTGTAGGAGTTGGAGCAGATAGAGATAAGGAAGATGATAATAGACAGGATGGTACACCTACTTTGTGTGGGCCACGTGATCCCTGTTATTCAGTATATGAGATATTGTCTCGACCACGAAACAGCGGACAAATCCCTTATTAGACATTTCGCTGCAGAGGTTTGTCTGAAGTTTAGTTATTACTTCAAAAGTTATAAGACACTAGTTTATCAACTTTTGATAGAGGAACATAATATACATTCGTATTCATGGATATTGCAGAGGAATGTTTTATTAGCATATTATAAATCCCTCATTTTCTGTACCGATAATAATAAATGAGATTTTTAAAAACAATACAATTTGCTGCAGGTAATGGAGGTCACTACATCTCCATACAGTCCAGAGTTTATTGCAGAATTCCTGCCCATAGCAAAGAATCCAGATATAACAGCTCCGCTTAGAAACATTAACGAATCAGATTCTATATCTCAGTTTATTGAGTACTGTGGTGGGTGAATTTATAAATTAATGATCGTTAAGTTAACTGATGGAATTGAAATACTATGAAGAACTCTCGTCGGATTTTCTGTGACAGTTCATGAGTTTATGTAGTATAGTGGAGGGTGGAAATGAACTGTGTTTTGAGGGTTTTTCTGACAGATATTTGTAATTTATTACTTTATTTTACTGAATATTATAAATAATATTGACACTGAAGAGGTATTCAAGTTGATTAAAGAGGATGTTTTCAATTTTTAGTCGTATGAGTCCAGTTTCCCGGGCAAATTTCCTCTGGTACCATTGCACGCACCGCCGAACGTTTTCATTGTGAAGATGTCTGCGCGTTTTTTCAATTTCTGAATGTGTCGCATAAAGTTCGTACGTAACCTCTACTTTCACAATTTATTTCGATGGATCGATCATCGAACGTGTGGTGTCTGCACATGCTGCTGCTTCTGCTGTAGCTGCAGCTTTGATGATACGAAAGGCGGTATGAAATATTATGTTTACTTAATATGTCTTGAATTAGTTGATACTAATCTTTATTCAAATCGCTTGGTAACTTTCAATTGCTTTGTAAATCAAGATATCCAGAACCTGGGAATTGCATAAGTTCCGATGTTTTAAGCGATTCGTAACTCTCATATATAAGTAGCTGAAAGATTGCACTTAAATGAAGTTTGAAGATTTTGCTCTGTCAATATGTACCCAGACTCAAATTCCAAGATGAAACTTATCTGTTATCGGGGGTCTCCTGGAAAAGCTCTAATTATGTCTGAATAAAACGTACTTGAGTCTGCCGATCAACACAATTCTTATTAGATAGATGGATTACCAAGACTGTCTGTCTAGTCAGGACTCAGATGAAATATGCCATTCGATCATGTATTAAATTGACTGAGCCGCATGTATATATAACTGCGCGCGCTGACTAAATGCTGCAAAATTGTTAGCGCTGTACAAGGATTAGTTGCTAGCAATAAGCACCTTGGAGTGTCTTGACAGTCAACCGACCAGCCATTAAGTTTTTACCAGCCCACACATGGCTTCCTTGGAATTGGTTAGCTAGCAGATTTGGATCTGTGTTGCTAACTGGTTATTTTACCGTTATCCCATCGGATTTTAGTGCAGGAAACAATAATTGTTCCCTCCACTATTGGTACCTTGCCAAAAGCGAATTTATCGAATGTTAATCGATTAGTTTAGGAGTTATGTAAAGTTCTAGTCAAAATGTGCTCACAATTTGTTGACAAGTTAGAAACCATATGTTGACAAGCAGGTATGATTTGAAAACGTTGATAACTTGTTACATTTTGAAAGCATAATAATGTAAACAATATACTGTGCTGAGTAATACCCATTGATTTAAAAAGTTAAAAATCATAACGAATAATATTTATTCGTTTGAAATAAAATCAAATTTGCAGCTTCAGAAAAAAACGAGAAGAAAAAGCAGTTAACATTTAAATCAACGATCATTTCGATCAACTCTCAACTAATTTATAATGAAGAACAATCAAGAAAAGAATTTATGAAAGTTTTTGTGTTGTCTCGTATTATTTATCTCAGTTCATATATGAACCTATTTAGATCCAGTACATCTTATTCTTGGTTGCGTCGTGTGGGCTGATATCTTTCAATATCTCTTCAATGGTTTGGCCAGCTGAAAAATAAAAACTTCAAAATCAACGAAGATACGTGAAACTTATCAATTTCATTTTTATCTCAAATTACACTCAAAATCCAGTTATACTTATCATCAAATAACGCCGAAAATTAAGATGTGAGCGTTAAAGCAATTTAAATTATTAGAAGATTAAAATCTAATTTAATGATAAATAAACTCACATCAAGATTTAAAACGAACTAAATAGCCAATAACTCACGTCTAGACTTATAATTAATCATCAATCAGCTAATTAATTAATTATCAATTAACTCACGTCTACTCGCACCATGGCCCCTGTTTGCAGTGCCCACAGAGCTAGCTCCATCTGAGCTGTCAAAGTTGTACTTTGAGTTGGAGAGATGGGCTCGGGCTCGGTCAGTCGCTAGATGTGCATAGTAGGTTGGAGCAGGGATGGATACAGATCTGAAATTAATTATCAATTAGTTATTTAATAATTCTTGTGATGAATGGGGATATGCATTCAATTATTGATTAGTTTATAAACGATTCTAAAGATAAATTGATATAAATCTGATGTATCTATCAGTTAATTGATAATTCTTTCAAGAGAATTAAATAATTAGATACAGATCTGGAATTGTTATGTATTTCATAATGTGTTGTGTACTACTGAGAAATTGTAGACTAACCTTGTGCATCTAGCGTAAACATGGCAGAGATGATATGTAAGTTTGTAGATCATATCAGCTGGGAATCTATTTTCATCAACCAGTACATGGTACTTGGCTGGCTTGTTCGTTCCTAAGGAGTGGGTTAGGGTTATGTGATATAATAATAGCTCAAATATGTTTGATAATTTAAAGACCATATATTTAAGTCCGCGTCACTTAATGTGGTTGCATCAGTTTGAAATAAGTGACAGAAATATAATGGTTTAATTTGTTACTAATCTTAAATAGTCAGAACCAGGAATCTGAAAAGATTTTTTTTGCAAAATATACCAGTAACACTGTTTAAAAAAACATAGTTCAGATATCAGGAAGTAAGTGAAAGTAAGCCAACCTTGAATTCCTTGGTGAGAGTTGAGGTAAAAGTCAAAGTCAGTAGTTGAAGTGACACCCTGATCTACTACAGTTCCAGCGGGTACGTTTCCAGATCTGTCTCCATCACGTGGGTTCTGGAATGTTAACATTAGGTTAGAGTAGTGTTATTGGAATGTTGGTTAGGACCAGCCTCTACCCCACAAAAGTTATTCATAACTTTTCTTTCATAGGTTATCCCATCAAAAATGTTTGTTATTGTAATACAGATTCCCAGGCCCGGCTACAATCCCGGGCCTCTGATAGATTCCAACATATAATAACTTTCCTCGTTTACAGTTTTTGGAACGAATAATAATTATAACTTAGTGGCCGCTAAGTAAACAATTCCCTGTGAGTTATAACAGATATCCAATAAACATATCTGACCTTGTTTGAACAGCACATCAGACATTAATGGACACATTGGAAGTCTCAAATTACCGGCTCCAATAACATCGTGTAAATCAAATTACCGGCTCAAATCAAACTCCGAACATTCTCGTTAAAACAAATTACCTGAACATAAAGTCTTGTGTGGTGACGTTTCTGGCAGACAATGTAGGTGACGGTAGGAGCGTATCCTGCCTCCAGTTCAAGACAAGCTTCTTTATTGCATCCAGCTGGCGAGAAGATCTTTAGGTGAAAATAAAACGACAAACATTATAAATTTAGTACAGATTAGAATAGCTGGCTTTAGATGAAAATAGAGGCAATAAGAAAAGAAAACTAACCAGCATTACAGCTCTAAACAAACCTCGAAAAGCATGACGTGATAAAACTGTCCCTCGCTGATACCATCTCTGTAGAAGATAATACGTTGAGGTTTTGTCTTGACAGATTGATAGAACTTGATCAGCATGTTCTTAACCATGGCCTGTAGGCTCTCTATAACTGGGCTGCTGACCTTCTTTCCGTCTGTCTTCTGGATACCGATTTGTGTGGCATAGCGACAAGCGAACTTGTCCGTGCTGCCTACTAGAGCAGATACACTGGGTCGGCTGCCTTCTCCTGGAGGGTACGGGGTTACAGTGGGCTAAAAGGGTTGAGGTTGAAGGGGTTGAGGGTAAAGAGGTTGAGGGTAAAGGGGTTGAGGGTAAAGGGGTTGAGGGTAAAGGGGTTGAGGGTAAAGGGGTTGAGGGTAAAGGGGTTGAGGGTAAAGGGGTTGAGGGTAAAGGGGTTGAGGGTAAAGGGGTTGAGGGTAAAGGGGTTGAGGGTAAAGGGGTTGAGGGTAAAGGGGTTGAGGGTAAAGGGGTTGAGGGTAAAGGGGTTGAGGGTAAAGGGGTTGAAGGTAAAGGGGTTGAGGGTACCTTGAGCTGGATGAGCGTTGTCAGCTCCCATCACTATACAGGGTTTGCTAAAGATGGGAATGTTGATCATATCAGCTGCAATGTTGTTGACTCCTCCTAACTTAGTATTCACCTTTTGTAGGATGTTACCTGCGGATAAACAGTTAGTTTTTAATCAGAGTATCATCGCCTATTAAGGTAGTACACGTGAAGAGATTATTATTGAGGCTCTCGTTGTAATAGTAATAGCAAAAACAAGTTTATGCCTCGGGTCAAAATGTAAAACTGTAAAACTGAGCTCCACATTTAAATTTGATGTAAAATAACACGTACCAATAGTCTGAGGTTTTGGTGGTTTCATGTTCCTCATTTCCATGCACTGAGTTGAGATAGCGTTTTGGTTCTCAAACACATGCTTAATACGCGGGTAACAGCTGCTGGAATTCTGAAAAAGTGAGTAGAGTTAGCTAACTTGTTAAATGTACTAAGTAGTGGAGTAGAGTTAGCTAACTTGCTAAATGTACTAAGTAGTGGAGTAGAGTTAGCTAACTTGCTAAATGTACTAAGTGGAGTAGAGTTAGCTAACTTGCTAAATGTACTAAGTAGTGGAGTAGAGTTAGCTAACTTGTTAAATGTACTAAGTAGTGGAGTAGAGTTAGCTAACTTGTTAAATGTACTAGGTAGTGGAGTAGAGTTAGCTAACTTGCTAAATGTACTAAGTAGTGGAGTAGAGTTAGCTAACTTGTTAAATGTACTAAGTAGTGGAGTAGAGTTAGCTAACTTGCTAAATGTACTAAGTAGTGGAGTAGAGTTAGCTAACTTGTTAAATGTACTAAGTAGTGGAGTAGAGTTAGCTAACTTGTTAAATGTACTAAGTAGTGGAATAGAGTTAGCTAACTTGTTAAATGTACTAAGTAGTGGAGTAGAGTTAGCTAACTTGTTAAATGTACTAAGTAGTGGAGTAGAGTTAGCTAACTTGCTAAATGTACTAAGTAGTGGAGTAGAGTTAGCTAACTTGCTAAATGTACTAAGTAGTGGAGTAGAGTTAGCTAACTTGTTAAATGTACTAAGTGGAGTAGAGTTAGCTAACTTGCTAAATGTACTAAGTAGTGGAGTAGAGTTAGCTAACTTGCTAAATGTACTAAGTAGTGGAGTAGAGTTAGCTAACTTGCTAAATGTACTAAGTAGTGGAGTAGAGTTAGCTAACTTGCTAAATGTACTAAGTAGTGGAATAGAGTTAGCTAACTTGTTAAATGTACTAAGTAGTGGAGTAGAGTTAGCTAACTTGTTAAATGTACTAAGTAGTGGAGTAGAGTTAGCTAACTTGCTAAATGTACTAAGTAGTGGAGTAGAGTTAGCTAACTTGTTAAATGTACTAGGTAGTGGAGTAGAGTTAGCTAACTTGCTAAATGTACTAAGTAGTGGAGTAGAGTTAGCTAACTTGCTAAATGTACTAAGTAGTGGAGTAGAGTTAGCTAACTTGTTAAATGTACTAAGTACTTCTTTATATATATTTTTAAACAACGAATAATTCTGAAGTCGCATACTGATAATATCACTATCACTACACTGTACACTTGCAACTGTATTTTTGAGTTTTGGAAAGTACACAGAGTGTAAGAGGCGTCAATATGACCATTAAAACTGGAAATATTTATATCTATGTACTACACAGAAATCAAGGGGACCTCATTTAACTGACCCTGGGTAGAATGCAGTAAACCAAATCTATTGGGTTTCCTCCAGCTTTCTGTTTGATCTCCGCACACACAGCCTGAATCTCATTCTCACGGAGGTATTTAACGTAAGAGGGCTGTGCTATTTGCATTCCGTTATCTCTTCCTACTTTGATCATCACGTCACAGAACGCCTGAAAGGTTGTATGTGTAAGTTGGAGGAATTTACATTGACTGTCACCAAACCTTGAACTGTCACATAGCAGCTCCAGAGCAGTGAAACAGCATCAATTAAATTATGCTTCTTCGGTCTTAAAAAATGCTACGGAAGGAAACAAAACTTTCACATATAATTCAACTTCAAATATATTTCCCACAACACAATCTAGATCAGAGTAAATGATTTCAAATCTAACCTTAACATCAGCAGTCTGACACTGGTTTTGCGGAGGGAACATGAGCATGGCCCAGTTCTTAATGCTGAGTGCTCTGAAGAACTGTTTCCCTCTGTTGTCCCATACTCCACCCTGAGCAGTTACCACCTGGTTATTGGAGTATCCCAACTTGGGAGGCTGAATAACCTTACCCTTGATCTGCACCATTGAGGTATCCACTTCGAACCCAAACTGTTTGAGGTAGGGGTCGGCAGGGTACTGCATCTTTTTGACTTGTTCGTCAGTTCCTTGTTTTCTCAATGGTGGTTTCTTAGCAGTGGCACGGATCATGTTTCTGGTCTCGTTGTCGGTTAGTTTTCGCACACAGCGCTGACCTGCTACGATGTCACATACCTGAATAAGGGATATTTTTATGCTGTGGTAACGGTTTTATGAAAACTTGGGAAATAGGAGATTCAAAATATAAGTCAGTGTAATAATTTCTTTCTCGAATTAAAAACATGGCAACTATCTTATTAAAATATCAACAAATCTAGTAAAATAATTCCTCACCTCCATAGGGATAAAAGTGTTTTTCTCCTTGGGAGACACCCAGATACAGGGTAGGTGAGGGTACTTCAGTGTATAATTATACTGTTGTTTGAAGTACTGTCCTATGCTCATTTTGCGGCCCTCTACATCAAACGAGATCTGGCTAGCGGTCTTGCTGGTCAGCTTCTCGACTCTGGTGAGGATGTGGACAATAGAAGGGGGTCCTTAAACCATGCAAGGCGTAAGGACGGAGACAAACATAGTTGACTCAAAATAAGTAATAAGTTTTGTGAACGTTTAATTGTGTAGAAGATCTCATATAAATTTAAAAATTCGAATTCATGCTTGGAACTCAATTAAAAGTATTCGATGATACAATTGAAATAAATCAACATACCTATATTGCCGCTTTTGGGCCTGATGTTTGACGGAAACCCTCAAAAACTTGAGATGTTTCTCAAGGATAATCCTATCAGCATCCCTCAGATTGAAGTTAGCGTTGATTGGTCCTTTCATGTTCAGCTGCTTAGCCATAAAGTCCAGGACGGGCTGTTCCTCGTAGAAAGCAGTGTGGCTCTCATCAACGTTCAGTACCAGTCCCCAGTTACTTGGTCGAGCAGAGGTGTAGATTCCTGTTGGTTAGAATTCAGACTTAGGGAGGGGGCTGGGGGTTGGATATTGAAAATTGAATAGTTCTGAAGTAGTTTAAAGTGCTCAACCCATTTCAGCCGGCTACATACCGGTCCAAAGCTCCGTTGCTTCACCAAGGGTGACCCTCTTGTTGGCATCAGGTCGCTGGTACATGGACCTGCCAGCTACCGTGTATCTCATGGACGGAAAGTGACGGAGCACAATATCAGCTACAACCAGGGTCTCTTGGGGGATATCTCCGTATCCACTGCCTGCAGAAACGGGTTGTTTTAAATGTAATAGTTAAAACGCAGTTAAATCATTATTTTCAAAATATTTCAATTTTATCACATTTGATTACAGGGGATAAAACTTGGCATTGGAACTTACCTTTCAAGACCTGTTCTAGACAACTCATGTCTATTGATGCTGCAAACTTGATTTGAATCGTAAATTTCTTGGCCTTGGAGTCGACTTGTTCGGGCAGCTCTACCTCAACAGACTGAGCCTCATTTCCTACTGGCAGCTTTATAGAGCTGTAGACATTCTTGTTTCCGTCGTAAACGGGCAGACCGTCTGAAAGAGGGTGGGGTTTAATGGAATGTTATCTTCTTAAACGAGGAAATTGTTATGTACAATGAAGGTGTAATGAATACTGCCGAATGTTTAATTGAAGCTGAAGGAAAATATTCCGGAGATAGCTAAGTTCGATAGTATTGCTTACTTTTGAACAGGGTCGCCTTGTTGTCTTGGGCGAATTTGTGGATAAGTTTCCTTTTCAGGAACTTGGGGCACTTAGGCTCGATCTCGATGTCGTAATGGTATACGGTTATCCTTGGGTTAAACTTCATTCGGTAGAAATTCGCGAAGAGATCGATGGGTCGACCCTCCTTGCCAAAGCCGGGTCGTACCACGGCCTTACAGGCCATCGTACGGTCGAAAGCTGTAGACATTTCTTCTTTTTTACTTGTACTTGCTAAGGAAGATAATAAGGTTGATCACTTTGTTAATTGTAACATATTATACGGTTGACGATGTAATCTACTGAATCCTGTTTAATTTACATGTACTTTAGATTGGCACACAAAGAGAATTTACAATCGTATATAAACTTACTAGACACAAAGTTGTACGAATACAAATATAATATAAAAATCTGAAAATTATCTTTAAATCGGAAAACGGCTCAAAATCAAATATTCTTTATAAAATCAAATACGAAAAGCTGTTATCTCATCAACTCAAATAAGAATAAGTTAATCAAAAGGAAAAATTATACCGGTATAAACAAGCGCGAGCGGTTTTAAAAAAAATTTAGTGAAGAGTGTTGCTTAGCTTCCTAGAAGATCGCTTTCTCCTTCGACCAGTATTTATCATAGGAACATGGTTCAGTAAGTCTGTGATGTGTTGAACGATCAATCCAATTGCTACTTTGTTTTCACCTCCACGAGGGATTATGACGTCAGCATACTTCTTGGTTGGGAGACAGAATTCCTCAAATGCTGGTTTCACAAATGTGGTGTACTGAGTGAGAACGGTCTCCAGTTTACGACCTCTAGATTCGATATCACGCTGTACTCGGCGGGAGAGCCTCGTATCTGAGTCAGTGTCAACAAATAGTTTAATATCGAACAAAGATCTCAATTCTTTGATGTACAAAACTAAAATGCCTTCGATTAAAATTATGTCCGTAGGGAAAACTTGATACGTTTCGTCTGATCGGCGGTGAAGGACGAAGTCGTAGATAGGGATTTCAACAGTCTCACCATTTCGAATTTGCTGAATTTTCTCTAACATGAGTTCGGTGTCAAAAGCGTCTGGGTGGTCAAAATCGTACTGCCCGGACTCAGCCAACAGAATCTGAGTAGGGGTCAGAGGCTTGTAGAAACTATCTTGACTAAGAATAATTACTCGGTTGTTCATACTTTTATCAGTTAAGCTCTCAATGATGCATTTGCAAACAGTTGTCTTCCCAGAGGCTGTGCCGCCAGCAACGCCTATGATAAAGCTGCTGCTGTCGCTGCCGGAGCTGGCATGTAGACCGTTCCTCACATCTCCATTCATACTAGCCATCAAACAGTCCTGAGCTGTTATCTAAGATAGGTTATTTGTGTATTATGAAATATGGTTCACAAAAGGCTACGACTTATCAACGGTAACGGAAACAACCTGACGGGTGTAAGACCAAATCTACAGGATTTGTCTAACAATGTATCTATAAAAAGCTACTGACAGAGGAACCAGAACATTAAACGCTTGCGGAGTATCTTGAATTTATTAGCTCAAGTATGCGCGGCTCAACTCAAATAATTATGGATGCGCACCTTTTATTTATTCATTTCACCTTTGAATAAAATATTTATATTTTGATGAAGGTTTAATAATATAATTTGATATTGCTATTTGATAAATTTAAATGATTGTTATTCAAAAGCTTTCAAAGTCAAACATTTACTATTTTTTTTTTTTTTTTTTTTTTTTTTTTTAAGAGAGGCTGGGCCTGGTTGGCCCACGAGAGGATAGCATATGAATGCTTTGCCTACCTCTGGGGTATGGCAGTCCTGTGGGAGGATGCCAGTGGAATCAAGATGTGTAATCAAGGATGATGGTAAGTGTTGTGGGGTGTGTCATAGATAAACGCTTAAGTGGTGGTTGAGTGTGGAAGAGAGAGGCGAAATAAGACGGCGTTAAAGTAGTCGCTATGTTACACCTGTCTGGTCCAACTCCTCTGGCACCACTAAGCGTTTAGTGTGGTTTGTAAAGTTGACAATGGTGGAGATGTGTTGGTTGTCGAATATGTCATTGACAGAGAGGTAGTAGTCCCGGAAATATTGACCTCTTATTTGGGCAATAGCCGGGCACTGTCCGAGAAAGTGTGAGACAGTCTCCTCTTCGTCGCCGCATTTAGGACAAGCACTTGTGTCTGATTTGCGAATGGTGTGTAGGTGTTTGTTGAGGCCACAATGTCCCGTGATGAGGTGCACTGCAGTTCTATAATTTTGTCTGTTGTTACTGAGTGTAGTGTTGAGATTTTTGATGATGTTGATGTTTTTATGTCCAAGTGTTAGTTTAGTGTGTCTGGGACCATCAGTAATCCATGATTCTTGATTAAGTTTTGTGACTTTGTCGTTGATCAGGCGTTTGATGTAAGATTGTGGAATTGGGCAATTCAAAGTGGATTCACTGGTTGTACCATTTTTGGCCAGCTCGTCTGCTTTTTCATTACCCCACAATCCAATGTGTGCAGCTATCCATCTGATCTCTAAGGTGTTAGTGGATCCGAGTGTATTGAGGGTGTCGTAACAGTCTCTAGTAGTCCTACTCCTCGTTGAAGGTGAGGATATGGCTTGAATAGAGGAGAGACTGTCTGACCATATGATGATGTGTGTGTTTGTATAAGTTGATAGATATTTACAAGCTTCGATGATGGCAGTGAGTTCTGTTTGATAAACGGTGCAATAATCGGGAAGCTTGAATGATCTTTCATCTAGTGTAGTGTTGTTGTTGTCTGTGGTGATAATATAACCAGCCCCGCTACCTGAGTCTGTGCGTGACCCGTCTGTGTAGCAGGTGATGGTTTCACTGGGGATGTTGTCGATGGTGTTTTGGAGTGAGCCTCTATATCCAATGTTGTCAGCTCCAGGAGTGGTGACCGTGAAGCGTCGTTCAAGCATCATGGTTGGTATAGATAGGTCTCTCTCTGCTTTGGGTGGTATGTTGAGGTCTACCATGAATTGTTTGTTGATAGTGGTGTGAGTTGTGATGGTACCTTTTCTGGGGGCGATAGTTTCGAGGGTTAGGCTTCCATATGCTTGAAGCCTGGCTGTGCCCTTTGCTGCTTCACCTCTCAGGAAAAGTATGATATCTGGAGTGTTAGTGAGGTGGTTCAGTGCGATGAAGGGAGTACTAGGCATGGCACCAGACATCATTCTCAATGCCAATGCCTGAACTCGTTTGAACTTCCTCGCGTTGGTGTCAGTTTGGGTTGCCACATTTACTATTCAAATATTGCAATTTATTAATCTCAACACAAACATTGGTTTTATTCATACAAATATTTTAATTGTATTTCCTGAAATATGAAACGCACAACTATGGGCTTAATATAACGGGTGATACTCGTAAAATAGTTGTTTCAAATATTAAACCAACTCGGCGCGCGTTTTGCTAGGTTACAACCATTTAATGGACCAAATACAAATCCGGATGAATCGGTTATTAAGCGAGTGCCGCGCATATATTAAAATTGTGTCAAAATCGAGCGCTATTTTTAACTGTCTGCCAAGTACCTATGCTGTGCTATGTTTTGTACTATCAACTACTGGTGCAGTGGCGTAACGTTGCCTGTTGGCGCCCCCTGCCGAAAAAAGCGCCCCCCTGTTGGCGCCCCCTCCCCTTTTGGTGCCCCTCCCTAAAATTGAACAAATTAGGTGATTTTAGAGAATACGCCGGTAAAATCTCTAAAAAAGTGTGTATCTAGAGCAAAACGCGCAGTTTTGCTAGTACTTTAGTTAAGTTTTCGAAATTGTCCCACATTCAAACGACGATTTGGCGCCCCCCTAAGACGGCGCCCCCCTGCACAGCGGGGTCAGCAGGGCCTTTCGTTACGCCACTGTACTGGTGACGCATGTTATTGCCGTGCAGTTCGATTTGTTATGATTTCTGATTCGACTGAAAGAGAGGAAAAACGTATACAAGTACAATGTTCTTGACAAATTATGCGAGAAACCTGTTATGCGATAGCATGGCTCTCCTTTTTAGAATGAGACCGGGAGTACCTCCTTTACTATACTATGCTGTTAAAGGGATTCCGTAGTTATGTTCAGACCAAGATTCCATGGGTCATAACCTTTTTTACTTCGGGTGCAACCAGTGGCGTAACATCACCCCCTCCTCTTTTGGCGCCCCCCTAAAATTGAACAAATTAGATGATTTTAGAGGATACGCTGGTAAAATTTCTAAAAAAGTGTGTTCCTAGAGCAAAACGTGCAGTTTTGCTAGTACTGTAGTTAAGTTTTTCCAAATTGTCCCACATTCAAACAACGATTTGGCACCCCCGCTTAGATGGCACCCCTGCACAGCAGGGTCGGCAGGGCCTTTCGTTGCGCCACTGGGTCTAACGTTCAGCTCCATAAAAAGGCCTATGTCCAGAGGGACCTTTGAACATACATATATATAAATAAGTCAAACCTGCCCAAGCTAGAGAGCCATGGCAGGGCCAGCACACAAGGCCCGGACCAAAACAGACTGAGCCAACTGGGTATAAAAATATCAATATGGAAAACTAGTAACCATATGGACCTTTCAACATAGTGATATTGTATAACTTTGAAGGCATGAGCATGTTTTATCGAATTGTAGATAACATCTCTGTGTTCTAAGTCTTTTCTTGTGCAATGGTATATTATGCATGATAGTTATGTGTTCACATCAACCATTGCAATCCTTATTTATCCCTATGTACTTGTTGTTGTGAAAAATGAATGGAAATATAGGGTTTAGAGATCCCTCCGTAACATTTAGACAAACTGACCTTGTTGCCAAATGTGAGCTCTAGCTGGTATTTTCTTAAAACGAATCTTACGAAAGATGGTGCTCCTCTTGTTGAACTGCTTGGTTTTCTCACAACAAAACTGTACTATTACAATTGAAGGCCTGAGTCCTGCAAACCCAGGGTTATGGCTGATGTAAGAGTGGTTGGTTGGTTAGTTCCTAAGAATCACTGTTAGTTGTGTTGTAACCATCATACTGATATCTTGTATGGCTTCAAAATAGAGCCTCTGCTCATCAATTAAACAGCAATTGCACCTTAAATTTAACTCAGTTTATCATTATTTTAGATTTTCATGTGATTAGACTATGTCAGTCCTCGTAGTAGTTACTGTTTTAGAAGGTAAGCTTTTCAATGATTTGTTTAATTTTACTTTTCTTGAGCTATTCGAAAATTCGAATTTCTGCTGTAATATAAGACAATTAAGTAAAAAAAAATTTAAGTAAAACAAAATTTAAATTTTATTGCCATTACAATGAATAATGATATCATAATAAATATAAGTAGACATCCGATAATAAACTTGTTAGGTCCAGTACAACCCAAGATGTCGGCCCACTAACAAAATAAAGAAAGCTAGCATGTTCATAGTTTTTCAAAAGAGCATACTTAGGCTGTACGGAAATAGCTTTAATTCTATGTTATATTAAAAACTTTACATCATTTTTGAGATACAAAAATCAAATTTAAAGAATATCAACAGTCAGAACTGATTGGCAGAACAGAGTATGTTAAAAGAATTTATTTTATTACTCTTTTGCTGCTTAGGCTAATAGGGACACACACAAAAATTAATGGGTTATGACCGATATATAAGGTATTTACAAATTATAAATACAATATACATGCTATCTGAGTAATAAAGCAGCCTTATTGGATCAGAATCTATGCAATCCCAATTTGCTTAAAAATGTTTCAGCAGTACAGCTATGCAAGAATTGTCATTCGTAGCTCAAAATGATAGAGCAATTAAGAAGCAATGTTTTTCACTATTAATGGCAAAAATGGCAATTATATTTTTTGACATATCCAGGTAAACAATTTCCGTCAAAGCCAAAGTCAGAACTCCAAGTAACTTGTAAGTTTGCAAATGAAGTCCTGAACAGTGATCCCGTCTCCCATGTTTCATCTCCGTACTTCAACACCGAACTTGCTTGGGAACTCACACGCAAAACTCTTCACCAACACAGGTTGCAACGGACTCCCTTGAAACTTACCGTGAGTTACACTGTGTATATGATAGAACTGTAGTTTACATAAATTAGAAAATACTACAATATAATCAAATGTACGATGTTGGATACCTGAGTTCTATATCTTTCGATAGCAACTCCATCTATGTATCTGCTTAGCTTCCATTTCTGATCCTGGTACTTGAGATTCCAGGTGTGGCTTTAAACAATGTTTTAAGGGCCCAACACTCAGCTCACTCAGTTGATGGTAGAACAGTGGGTCTTTGTGCGATGTTGTAGCAGGGACTCCACTTCTTGATTTCTCTTGCTAACCAGATTGCATAGGAACATCTGAGAGCAACCAAAGCCGCCTCTTGGAACACTGCTTTCTTTACTCTCTTTGTAACACCAAAGTAGTTTAGTAGGGCTGGTAAGGTATGATGCCAGAAGCCTCTACACCCAACCTCTACCATAAAAAGCTGAGGTTTCCAACCACTGCCATGCAGCCCAAGAATAAGCTCTCTGTTATAACGTGCTTGTTTACGTTCTACTTGGTCACTAAAGTTATTATATAATATATATATATATATATATTAACTTTATTATACTCATTTACAAGCAGTATTAGCTTTTTAAAACATAGCTTTCGTCTTAGATCGTTGCTTTAAATTAAGGATTAGGGTGACTGTAGGGTCTTAGTCGAACAGATGCAGTGGTCAAGAATGTATGTTTTATACTGTGTTTCAGAGGAATTTGTTTCCCTTTGAATCAATCAAACTAGATGAATTGTTGTAAATACTGAGATCAAACTATCAATCTACAGGCTATCGTCAAACATGTTGCAAGGCGTCATCTTCAGTGACATAAGCCCTAGAAATTGTAAAAAGTTAGTAAAACCCAAAATTCCTTTAAAAATCTGAACACTCTTAAAACGGTTATAAAGTATAAATTAAGATGTTAGGAGTAATGGAAGGCCAAAAGGATTTATAGTGTTAATTCCCAAAGGTTTTAAAGTCTTGAGTAGTTGAATATATTTATGTTCACGAACATCCAAAGTTTTAGGACTAGAATTATCAATAATTGACACATTAAAAATTTTGTTAAAATCTTCCCTTTGTCTAAAACCATGATCCAACAAATGTAAACCCAAACTATATTCATCACTTGTTTCATCTACCTTATCACCATTTAAAAGTTTATAATATTTGACCCTATGTATACTGTGTTTTGGGCACTTCCAATGTGTACTATTGATATAAGTTTTCGTTTGAAATAGGATGTAACATGCATTTTCAATTATCTGAAATATTGCACAGATTTTCGACTTCAAACACGACAAGATACTCAACAAATAACACAATCAGTTTCAAGCCAAGACGGGTACCAATACAGAGGAGGTGGGCCACATCATGCTGGACCTGCGTTCCATCTCAAACCAAGGTGGGGAATACAAGTGGTACCCACTTTCTCGCAACAAATACAAAACTCACAAACCCCAAGTTAGACTGATGCTCTCAACTGAAGATCCTGATGGAGAAATGCAACCGGTAACTATTTAATTTTATTAATTATCGTCATTCTAGTTTAGTTTTCATTGTTCTGCTGCTGTCACACTTAAAAAAAAATTGTAAATTAGTTTTAAGTGCGATGAGATATATGTTTCATTGTCTTTTAAACCAATAAAATAAAGCAAATCCCTCTAGGAGGCAGAAGTTGTCCCCAAGAAACTGTTTGTTTCACTAGACGAAGCAGCAGGGTGTTACCAAGTCGGAGAGCCCTCTAACTCTGACCCTCTTTACAATCTCTCCCTCACTATCATTGCAGCCTCTAATCTCATCAGACTTATTGACAGCACCAAGCCGGCCGCTTTTTCTTTCAGGTTTAAAACTTCATTCAAGTGGTGATTCCAGGAAATCAAATATGATTTTGCTGATATTTAAGGCTTAATAGATACTTGAATTAAATTCAAACTAGGTATTTATTTCAGGTATTTATGGTATTTAGGGTATTTATGCACATTGTTAACTAATAACCATTATTTCAGATTTAATCTGTTGGATAACATCATAACAAACTCTTCTTTTGTTAACGCTGTAAAGCCAGACTTTCCCATCGAGAGGGTGAGTGTGAAGTTGCGTGGTTCTCTCGAAAATGTTTACAAGTACCTTGCCTCTGTTAAAGATGTCTCCCTTCAACTATGTCAAGGTAATTTATAATCTGCAATTAATTAGCATTTTTCAGGAATAAATTGCACATAAAATCACCCACACACTCGCGCACATTTATTTAATTGCAATCATTTTTAATAGCGTGATTCAATAGATAATTTTAGATCAACAGAAATCCTTAAATCATCCTCTGCTTCTGTAAGATTTATGATTTTATACAGAACAGCACGACATATTGTTGACACCACTGCACTGTCTTACCGTTCCTAACGAACCCCAATATTCAGGACCAGAAGTGGTGGGTGTAGTGAACATGCCCTTTACCAAGCTGCTCACTGCTGCTGAAGATACTGAGAGTGTGAACTCTCTACATGCTTGTCTGTATCTCCAGCATCCTGCACTGGTTAGTGTCATATTTTATAATCTTATATAATCTGTGGTTTGTTCGGTGATTTGCTCTAGCTAGTTAACACCAATCCACACGATTGCTGCACTAAAAAACTTATAATTATTTCGGTTAAGGTCAATTCCGGGACCGCTTGAACCCTAGCATTTTACTACTTTGAAGGGGGTCGGTAATTTAGCTTTTGGTGGCTAATAAGGATGATCAAGTAGTCCAAAAAGCCCCATTTACATCCCCAAATGAGACACACGTTTATTATCAGGGAGACGTGATGGGAGAGGATAGACCAAGTGTAGAGGTGCACTTCACACTACGCGAAGAGAGACCCCTCACCCAGCCTCCCCCTCCGGCTCCTGCGCCTCGCTTGTTAGATGATACTGACGAGATGTTAGCACCATCTACAGAACAACTTGACGCTGAGATGCGTGCATCTTCTCCCCCTCTTTCTCTTCTCTCTCCTTCTCCTCCTCGCTCTCCTGTAGCTTCTTATCCTGGGGTGAGGGTCACACAAGGTATGATACATTCTGTTTCAATTTTAAACACTTTTTGTTTCACCTTAGTAGTTAGTTTCACTACTTTCGATTTCAGTTAGGTGTATGATGCTGCCTGATTTATTTTTGTCGATCCTTTAAATCAAATTTTGTTTTTGCCTAATGTCTATTATTATTTTGTCTTGTTTGTTGTGTAAATTCCTGCGTCGAACTTTAGTTCCTGACAGGAAATAAACCAGAACTAACAGGTTTTCTCTAAAACAATGCGATGTACTTGCGATGTATTTTAGTTGCAGTACCGGCTTCTAGTGTTGCTTGGTGAATGACTGGAAGTATCCAGCCAGAGGACAGTCTTTAGGGCTCCTCCAACATTAAACATGCAGCTGAACAACAGATTTACTGTTGCACATTTTATGGAGCCTTTACCTCTGGGATTTTGCTAGTAGTCAAAAGAATTTACCCCAGTGTCCGTCTTAACATTTGAGCTGTAGCGGTTTGTACCGTATCATTTTTCTGTGCCTCTTATTTTTTGGAGCACTATAAGTAAATCTCTGCTCCGTATATTCAAGTTTGTTGTTGTAATCGCTACTTTTAAGGGTGTCGTCGTTTAAATATACTTCTTTAGATTTATTCGACTCCTTCTCGTTGCCTGATAGCCACCTTGTGTTGCCTTGTGTTGCCTTGTGTTGCTTTGTGTTGCCTTACATGTTGCCTTGTGTTGCCTTGTGTTGCCTTGTGTTGCCTTGTGTTGCCTTGTGTTGCCTTGTGTTGCCTTGTGTTGCCTTGTGTTGCTTTGTGTTGCCTTGTGCTACCTTGTGTTGCTTTGTGTTGCCTTACATGTTGCCTTGTGTTGCCTTGTGTTGCCTTGTGTTGCCTTGTGTTGCCTTGTGTTGCCTGATAGCCGCCTTGTGTTGGTAATTGTTTTAACTGTAATTCCTTTTATAAAGAAGCATCGAGCGATTTATTTCAAAAGTGCAGATTAGTAGTTGTTAACACTGATGATTGATTTGTGAAATTGTACGATTAATATATGTTAAATCAATTAATTAGTGTTGATCCACCTAATACCACGATTCTTCAGGAGAAAGTAAAATGTGGTTATGTAACATACGATTAGCTAACGCTAAGATAAGTAAGTGTTGAGTTCAAGAAGATTTGTACCCATTTTGTGCTTTGAAATAAACTATAAATTTAAAGATAATAGAATCTTAAATCAATTTTTGATTTCTGAAAAGGTCAATAACACATTTTCAATTTTGATTGGTTAAAAGTCCTAGTCCCTGCAATATTGAACACAGATTCTGTTTCAATACGCAAAGGTCATCAAATAGGTTTTCTGTATCACATTAACTGTTTCACTTAAACATTAAACACATTCTGTTTCACTTCAACATTAAACACTCTCTGTTTCACTTCAACATTAAACACTCTCTGTTTCACTTCAACATTAAACACATTCTGTTTCACTTCAACATTAAACACTCTCTGTTTCACTTCAACATTAAACACTTCTGTTTCACTTCAACATTAAACACTCTCTGTTTCACTTCAACATTAAACACTCTCTGTTTCACTTCAACATTAAACACTCTCTGTTTCACTTCAACATTAAACACTCTCTGTTCTCACATTAAACACTCTGTTTCACTTCAAACACTCTCTGTTTCACTTCAACATTAAACACTCTCTGTTTCACTTCAACATTAAACACTCTCTGTTTACTTGTCGCAACAACCGGGATAAAGATAATTTTACACGGAATACATTACAACAATGCGACTCATAAATAATACTCCAATCCGGATTTTACACTCTCTGTTTCACTTAAAAATTAAACACATTCTGTTTCACTTCAACATTAAATACTCTCTGTTTCACTGAAACATTAAACACATTCTGTTTCACTTCAACATTAAACACTTTCTGTTTCACTTCAACATTAAACACATTCTAGTTCACTTCAACATTAAACACTTTCTGTTTCAGTGCCCAGTGGTAAGAGGTATATCAGATACGTTTACCCATATTTCGGTACAACAGCCCCTCACTCTACTTCAGTAGTACACTTCATAGCAGGAGATTCCACCCCACTTCCACCTACTGCTTGTGAATATTCCTTTACAGCTGATACAGAAAGTGTGGTCCAGCAGTTCACAAAGTTAGTGGATTTAAAATGTTATTGGGTCATTGGTTTTTAAATTTTCTGTGAAATGGAGTGAGAACTGAAAGAATTATATATTATGAAACAGCTATTTTGTGTTTTCGCCGTCTTGATAAATCCTTTCTTTTTTAATTTAATATTTGCTTAGATGATTCAGATAATCATAATGTTTAACTTACACAAAGTTACAGCGATTGATCGATAAGATACTTTGCACTGTGATAACATCATTACATTATAGGATAACAAGAGTGTTATTTCAGAGTGCCACTTGTTTTACAATTCTGGAGTAAAACGAATGAAGGAGAAGATTTAGAGGGAACATCAGTTGTACTATTAGCTCAGCTTCTAAAGGTACACTATTTTCTGTTTTGACTCCTCTTGACGTATCATAAGCACTCAAAAGTCATAATCTGTGTCCTTATTATCATCTTTGACTCGTGTTAGACATTCTTTAACCTAAAACGGTAGTACGTACTCAGTAAAATTCGTGGTTTTAGGGAGGATTGCAACAGATGTCAGGGAAGATAATATCAAAATCAGACGAGAAGGTTATCGGGGAGGTGCAGATAACGGGTTATCTTGAAGATAAGGGTATGACTCATCAACCCGTTGGAAATAAACCAAATTCTAAACCTCTCAGAGCTGAACCAAATTCTAAACCTCTCAGAGCTGAACCAAATTCCAAACCTCTCAGAGCTGAACCAAATTCCAAAACTCTCAGAGCTGAACCAAATTCTAGACAGGTTAGATTAATTTAAAGAAGCAGATTGTGTTTTTTTGAAGAAAAAAGGGTCGGTTTCAAATTTAAAGATCGCAATTAAAATAGAATTGCGCGGAAATTGTCCTAAGTCCCTGCTGTGATAAACTGAATTGTGTTGGTTTACGTAACGCGCGCCGACTTTCATGTGACGCGAATTTTCGCATTATGCATTCACTATTGTTTTTCGATAAACATTTCCCAACCGAATTTGCCGCATTTTGTGGTGCATTAAATTTATTAATAATTATTTGTCACTCTAAGCGCGAAGTAAGTTCGGAAGATATACCAGAAAGACAGCAGGAAACTTACAAAGTTGCTTTAGAGTTAGAGTTGTGGAAAGAAATGGAACAGGAGAAATTCATCAAAGGTATGCAGCTCTATAAGTCAATAGCCTCAGGGTTCAAACTTCAAAGTTATTTTTTATTACTTTAAAAGGAATATAATAAATATAATCTCCTGCTGGTTATGGTATCATGGAAAATGTTTTTACCGTATCATAGCGATTACAATTGATTTCAGAAGTTATATTGCCAGATCCCAGTTCAATTTGTGACGGAGTTTTATATTAACACTAACAGGAAACGATGTATCAGAGTCAATATATTTTAATGTTGCCACGGTGTGGCAAGTCCCCATGCATCGTGGTCCGATACTTTCATTGCGTCTTAATATAGCACCCAAAATTTAGCTAAAAGTAAAAGTAAATATCAGTACAATATGGTATCCCCTGTTAACTTGTTTTCTTTAGATCTGGAGCTGAAAGGGGAGACGAGAATGAAACAGATAACTGCAGAGTGGAAAAAAAAGGAAATTGGTGAGGAGAATTCAATTTTTTCGCACAAACTTAACACCTGACAAAAAGGGAAAAATGCTCGGTCCTCTGAAAAAACATTAATTTAATTTAAAAATATCTGGCTTTACATTTGAAATTAAATTCCGTTCACACTGTTCCGCCCAGAGCGCGAGGAGGAAGCAAGAAGACAAGTATCAGAATACAACAAACTAAAGGGGAAGATGAAGATAGCGCTAAAAGATCTGGAACTGAGAGAAAACCAACTTTTGGAACAGGAACGGAAGGTGAAGTGCGAAATGGTTGTTCTGCTATTTCAGCGCGAGTCACTATCTACCATGTTGAGAATTCGTAAAGAGTTTTAAAAATGTTACATTTCCGTGGCCAGGAACTAGCATCAAAATACATTTCTGTTAAAATTTAATCGCGATTCTCTGATTAAAGACGATAATAAATTACCTTTTTTTCATCAGTTAGTGTTATCACAAGAAGATATGGCACGTGAGAGGACACGTTTAACAAGTGATATCAGAGAGACTAGTCGCAGAGTTGAGGAGGAATTCGAGCACAAACTCAGTCTACAGAAACAGAAACTAGCTGCTCTAGACAAGCAGAACAGGGATCTTAGAGCACAGGTTAGAGACAGAACAGGGATCTTAGAGTACAGGTTAGAGTCAGAACAGGGATCTTAGAGTACAGGTTAGAGACAGAACAGGGATCTTAGAGCACAGGTTAGAGACAGAACAGGGATCTTAGAGCACAGGTTAGAGACAGAACAGGGATTTTAGAGCACAGGTTAGAGTCAGAACAAGGATTTTAGAGCACAGGTTAGAGACAGAACAAGGATTTTAGAGTACAGGTTAGAGTCAGAACAGGGATTTTAGAGCACAGGTTAGAGACAGAACAGGGATTTTAGAGCACAGGTTAGAGACAGAACAGGGATTTTAGAGCACAGGTTAGAGTCAGAACAAGGATTTTAGAGCACAGGTTAGAGTCAGAACAAGGATTTTAGAGTACAGGTTAGAGTCAGAACAAGGATTTTAGAGTACAGGTTAGAGTCAGAACAGGGATCTTAGAGCACAGGTTAGAGACAGAACAGGGATCTTAGAGTACAGGTTAGAGACAGAACAGGGATCTTAGAGTACAGGTTAGAGACAGAACAGGGATCTTAGAGCACAGGTTAGAGACAGAACAGGGATCTTAGAGCACAGGTTAGAGACAGAACAGGGATTTTAGAGCACAGGTTAGAGTCAGAACAAGGATTTTAGAGCACAGGTTAGAGTCAGAACAAGGATTTTAGAGTACAGGTTAGAGTCAGAACAGGGATTTTAGAGCACAGGTTAGAGACAGAACAGGGATTTTAGAGCACAGGTTAGAGACAGAACAGGGATTTTAGAGCACAGGTTAGAGTCAGAACAAGGATTTTAGAGCACAGGTTAGAGTCAGAACAAGGATTTTAGAGTACAGGTTAGAGTCAGAACAGGGATTTTAGAGCACAGGTTAGAGACAGAACAGGGATTTTAGAGCACAGGTTAGAGACAGAACAGGGATCTTAGAGCACAGGTTAGAGACTGAACAGGGATTTTAGAGCACAGGTTAGAGTCAGAACAAGGATTTTAGAGCACAGGTTAGAGACAGAACAGGGATCTTAGAGCACAGGTTAGAGACAGAACAGGGATTTTAGAGCACAGGTTAGAGTCAAAACAAGGATTTTAGAGCACAGGTTAGAGACAGAACAGGGATTTTAGAGCACAGGTTAGAGTCAGAACAAGGATTTTAGAGCACAGGTTAGAGACAGAACAGGGATTTTAGAGCACAGGTTAGAGACAGAACAGGGATCTTAGAGCACAGGTTAGAGACAGAACAAGGATTTTAGAGCACAGGTTAGAGACAGAACAGGGATTTTAGAGCACAGGTTAGAGACAGAACAGGGATTTTAGAGCACATGTTAGAGACAGAACAGGGATTTTAGAGCACAGGTTAGAGTCAGAACAAGGATTTTAGAGCACAGGTTAGAGACAGAACAGGGATTTTAGAGCACAGGTTAGAGACAGAACAAGGATTTTAGAGCACAGGTTAGAGTCAGAACATGGATCTTAGAGCACAGGTTAGAGACAGAACAGGGATTTTAGTTGTTTGGCAATCACACATTTCCTATTTGTGAAGTGGCTCTTGCATAATGTTCAAAATTTTATCCGCTATATTCATAGCTTTGAATGATTTTAAAGATCGGTGAAATCGACGATAGCTTATGAACTTCTATTTACTTTCTTATCAAAACTATCTACTGAGATGCGCATGTTCTAAATAAGATTTAAATTATTTTTGAGTCCTTGACACTGAAACAGTTTAACGTGGACCCCCCCCCCCTGAAACAGTTTCATCTCAGGTAGAGGAAGCAGAGGCTCGGCTAGAGAAAAGAACAGCAGAACTAGTCGCGGCTAGAGAGGCTCAACTCACTGCACCTTCTACTAAAATACAGGCTCAGTTAGAGATACTCAAAATGGAGAAGGTCAGACTTTTTATAGTTTTTTAAACATTTCTTTTTAACATCTTCACTGAAAACGTTATAATGTTATAATTGCTATATTTTGCTACAAGAGTTTGCTAACTTTATTATCGCAGGATGAAATGGACAGGAAGATAACGTCTCTAGAAAAAGCTAAGCTGCACTACAAAGAGAGTTGGACCAAAGCTCTCAAAGAGCTCATCAACGGTTCGTGTACCTTTAGAGTTAGGGGTCGTTCACATATTACGTAATCAATATTTTAGCAATTTTTACCCCCCTCCCCCCTTCCGTAATCAACCGTTATCAAGACCCAACCCCCCCCCCCTCCTGACAGCAATATTACGTAATCATGGCCTGACCCCCCCCCCGCCCCACTTGACTTTTTTCCTAGAAAACACTTTTCTCTACGTTTCATGCAACCCTGATTATGCTATCATGATGAGCCGAAATCATTGTTATGATATCCGGCCAAGCACTGCACCTTCTAAACTACTTACTATTATAGCCGGATATTCGATCAATTTCTAAATTTTATCACTATCAGAGTGAAATTGAGTGGAATTTGAATTAAAATATTGCCAAATTGTTATTATTCTAGAGGGTAAAAAAGAAAATTTTGATTACGTAATCAACGGCCGAAACCCCCCCCCCCCCCCCGTAATCAACCGTAAGCATTTGGAAACCCCCCCTCCCCCCTCGGCTGATTACGTAATATGTGAACGACCCCTAACTCATTAATTACAATTAGTCAATCAATTATAACTACCAAGACTTGTAATAGTGGAAATTTAATACATCATATGTTTTTAATTAACTTCTTACTCACACCCACCCTTCTCCACCAGTGAGAGAGCGAGCGCAGCAGGACGCTAAAAGACGACTACATCACGAGCAAAGTCTGATGGAACACGCCAGACTTCGATATCTCTCATTAGAGGACCAGAAGGTATGTGCAAACTGAGAGAGTTAGAGGACCAGAAGGTATGTGCAAACTGAGAGGGTTAGAGGACCAGAAGGTATGTGCAAACTGAGAGAGTTAGAGGACCAGAAGGTATGTGCAAACTGAGAGAGTTAGAGGACCAGAAGGTATGTGCAAACTGAGAGAGTTAGAGGACCAGAAGGTATGTGCAAACTGAGAGAGTTAGAGGACGAGAAGGTATGTGCAAACTGAGAGAGTTAGAGGACGAGAAGGTATGTGCAAACTGAGAGAGTTAGAGGATCAGAAGGTATGTGCAAACTGAGAGAGTTAGAGGACCAGAAGGTATGTGCAAACTGAGAGAGTTAGAGGACCAGAAGGTATGTGCAAACTGAGAGAGTTAGAGGACCAGAAGGTATGTGCAAACTGAGAGAGTTAGAGGATCAGAAGGTATGTGCAAACTGAGAGAGTTAGAGGATCAGAAGGTATGTGCAAACTGAGAGAGTTAGAGGATCAGAAGGTATGTGCAAACTGAGAGAGTTAGAGGACCAGAAGGTATGTGCAAACTGAGAGAGGGTGGTTCACTCAAGAAGTATAGTCGATAAAATGGTTTAAATAGATATTTCGAAAGTCATTGCCATAAATAAGTTGAGATACAATTTGTCTACAATATTCCGGCTTGTCCACGAAAAGAAATGATCACTGTGAAACCCTCAGTTGAAAGATAACAACAGACTGGGAGAAGATGTTGAGAATCTGAAGGGGGAGATAAACAAGATGAGGGATCATATTATCGTACCACAAAAAGAGAGTACAGATAAAACTCTACCTCAAGATAAGATCGCGGTTAGTTAAACATATCTCTGTTTGGTTATTTTGAGCTATTTAGGTTATTTTGAGTCACGTTTTTACAGGGTGCAGCAAGACTTGTTTCCAAATTTTGAATGGCTCTCAAAACCTAAAATACGAGACAAACAGTTTAATTTGTGTTTTAAATCGTAGACAAATTATTACAGTTCACTAATTGGTTATTTTGAGCTATTTTCGTCATGCTATCTTTAGTCATGTGATCTTATCAGTTATTTAGAATATATATTCGCATATATCCACACTATATTTACATTACACGTTCAACGTGATATCATTATCAGTGCAGTGTGTACAACACCAACTACACCGATCAATTGCCAATCTGCGAAAAATTTAATTATTATTATCACTTCGAGATGGCAGGGCGTACTCTCATGCTGTCTATAGGTGATGATTAATTCTGATCATGTGATTCTGATCATGTGATCTGTTAACAGTTCACTGATTGGCTATTTTGAGCCTCATAACAGCTCTCTGGTTAATAACACCCAATAACCTGCAGCTAGGCAGGCTGATAGAAGAACGAAACTCGTTACTGAACACTGGAGTGTACACCAAAGATGATCCCCTGATTCAGGAACTCAACAACAAGATCAACCTTCTCCAAAACCCTTGAAATGTTTCCGGCTAATTAGTTAGTTAATTGATTAATTGATTAACCAATTGATTTTTTGAACTGGGAGAACTGATTGATTTTCAGACACTAATTTATGCGGACGCCTGGCAATAATATCTGTAATACGAACTTGGTTTGTGAAGTGGTAAAGACAATCCCGACAGATTTGGGTTGAAAACGAGCTTATTACTTTTGACAGAATCTTTGTATAGATTGTATTATATATTAATTATTATGATGTTTGACTTTCGTCTTCATAGCCACTTTATTTGATCGTGACCAATAGTATTCCATCGTACTTGAAGTTATAATTTGATCCATTTAGTTTATTTGTTTTCGTGAAGTTAAATGTGGATGATCTTGTTACGACTTGTTAGTAAGATTAATAATGATACTTTTCTCTACTAGTATTGTTATCGCTATCCTACAATAAACTGTTTTGTGACCTATTTAAATATCATTTTGGAGCTGATACTTTATGTTTACAGATTTAAAATTCAGTAATAGCTGTATTATTTGTCTGATGAATAACATTATTAAATACAAATTCTAAACAAAGGATAGTTAAAAACAACGCCCAAGTCTAATCTTCACTGTAGTTTCTGCCAATATCTCGTACCATATCTAAATTCCACAGCTGTGAAGCAGAGTACACCCGTTGTCCATCTTTTCGTTAACCTTAGCACCATCTGGTGTCCAGGGACATCATGTTTCATATAGAATTTGGGACGGAGTTTTGATATTTTTCATCGAAACATTACATCGGATTTTTCATTGAAACATTACATCACATTTTCAGATTCTTCACCCATTCTTCAACAAAGAATTCAAAAATTGCTTAAAATAGGCCAACTCGACTTACTCGACTTAGGGCGGCTTCAAAAGGCTGAATGACCCAGTGCAGTTCCATTCACTGTGGCTAATGATCACTTACCCCAATGCCACACCATCTGGACATTGGGGAAACCACTAGAACAAATAACCGATTCGAACTTAACGTTAACCGCATGAAATTGAACATACATTTTTTCAGTGATACTACTACTAGTAAACTTTACTCAATCTTCATGTCATGCTCCCTGCAAAAAGAGTAAAAATATGAAAATTGTAGCCTTTTTTCGAATCTTCAGCATCTGATGATCGTCACGTCTTGCTGAGTCTGTTCTCTGCGGGCCCAGTCGAGCAGAATGTGAAACCTTGCTTCACTTGGACGGAAATATTCATAGACTTCATATAATAGATCTTTTCTGAAATTCATTGATTTCATCTTTTTATTATCTTAAGCACCAGCCTCAACTAAGTAACGCACCATATCTAAATTCTTTTGCTGTGAAGCGTTGAGTAGTGGAGTACACCCATTGTTCATCTTTTCGTTAACATTAGCACCAGCCTCAACTAAGTAACGAACCACATTTAAATTCCTTTGCTGTGAAGCGTTGAGTAGTGGAGTACTCCCATAGTCCGTCTTTTCGTTAACATTAGCACCAGCCCCAACTAAGTAACGTACCACATCTAAATTCCCTTTTAGTGAAGCTTCAGAAAGTGGAGTATACCCATTGTCCGTCTTTTCGTTAACATTAGCACCAGCCTCAACTAAGTAACGAACCACGTCTAAATTCCCTTTCAGTGAAGCTACATGAAGTGCAGTACACCCATTCTCCATCTTTTCGTTAACATTAGCACCAGCCTCAACTAAGTAACGAACCACATCTAAATCCCTTTTAGTGAAGCTTCAGAAAGTGGAGTATAACCATTGTCCGTCTTTTCGTTAACATTAGCACCAGCCTCAACTAAGTAACGAACCACGTCTAAATTCCCTTTTAGTGAAGCTTCAGAAAGTGGAGTATACCCATTGTCCGTCTTTTCGTTAACATTAGCACCAGCTTCCACTAAGCAACGAACCACATCTAAATTCCCTTTTAGTGAAGCTTCAGAAAGTGGAGTGTACCCATTGTCCGTCTTTTCGTTAACATTAGCACCAGCTTCCACTAAGCAACGAACCACATCTAAATTCCCTTTTAGTGAAGCTTCAGAAAGTGGAGTGTACCCATTGTCCGTCTTTTCGTTAACAGTAGCACCAGCCTCAACTAAGCAACGAACCACATCTAAATTCCCCTCTTGTGAAGCTTCATAAAGTGCAATACTCCCATAGTCCATCTTTTTGTTAACATTAGCACCAGCCTTAACTATGTAACGTACCATATCTAAATTCCCGTTTAGTGAAGCGTAGTGGAGTGGAGTACACCCATTGTCCATCTTTTCGTTAACATTAGCACCAGCCTCAACTAAGTAACGAACCACATCTAAATTCCCTTTTATTGAAGCGTAGTGTAGTGGAGTACACCCATCGTCCATCTTTTCGTTAATATTAGCATCAGCCTCAACTAAGTAACGAACCACATTTAAATTCCCTTCTTGTGAAGCGTAGTGTAGTGAAGTACACCCATCGTCCATCTTTTTGTTAACATTAGCACCAGCCTCAACTAAGTAACGTACCACATCTAAATTCCCTTTTCGTGAAGCGTAGTGTAGTGGAGTACACCCATCGTCCATCTTTTCGTTAACATTAGCACCAGCCTAAACTAAGTAACGTACCATATCTAAATTCCCTTCTTGTGAAGCGTAGTGGAGTGGAGTACACCCATCGTCCATCTTTTTGTTAACATTAGCACCAGCCTCAACTAAGTAACGTACCATATCTAAATTCCCTTTTAGTGAAGCGTAGTGTAGTGGAGCACTCACATCGTCCATCTTTTCGTTAACATTAGCACCAGCCTCAACTAAGTAACGTACCATATCTAAATTCCCGTTTAGTGAAGCGTAGTGTAGTGGAGTACGCCCATCGCCCATCTTTTTGTTAACATTAGCACCAGCCTCAACTAAGTAACGTACCATATCTAAAGTCCCGTTTAGTGATGCGTAGTGTAGTGGAGTACGCCCATCGCCCATCTTTTCGTTAACATTAGCACCAGCCTCAACTAAGTAACATACCATATCTAAATTCCCGTTTAGTGAAGCGTAGTGTAGTGGAGTACGCCCATCGCCCATATTTTCGTTAACATTAGCACCAGCCTCAACTAAGTAACGTACCATATCTAAATTCCCGTTTAGTGAAGCGTAGTGTAGTGGAGTACGCCCATCGCCCATCTTTTCGTTAACATTAGCACCAGCCTCAACTAAGTAACGTACCATATCTAAATTCTTTTGCTGTGAAGCGTTGAGTAGTGGAGTAAACCCATTTTACATCTTTTCGTTAACATTAGCACCAGCCTCAACTAATAGTGTATGTACTAAGAGCGTCAACTTGCGGGTGAACATTTTATGTCTCAAAACCCAACATATTATACATCATTGGAAAGGTCTCATTAAGTAGAGTCGTTTGGTACCAAGTTTTGGGCAAATGGTTGCTCCTAGCGGAAGTTATAACCCGTCAAAGTCCCAAGAATGATCAATTTAAAAAATGGGGCGGGACATCGTGTTCTTAAATTTTTTCACGAAATTGTTTTACAGAATATTGTTAATCACATTTTTTTACACAAGATTTGCTGTATGCCGTAATTTTATTTTCCGATATTTGAATCAAAAATAATTTTTATTTGGATTTCAAAGTACGCGCTACGACGCACAGTTAGAAATCGCAATTAGGAGATTTAACCAAATTTTTTGTTGCGCTATTTTTATTCTCATATCAAATATGCGCTGATACTTTTCGGTCGAATTTCTTTTTGTTGCCGCTCATAGCAATTAGCATAGAGCCTCAATGCACACACCGTATATTTAGTTTGATAGTAGTTGTTTTGTTGCACATTGTAATGCAGATGTTACTAAATGATCTTGAGAGGGTATTTAATATAACTGAGTTAGTGTTACTGCGTTTTGGCTGCGATGTGCTGGAGACTACTAGAAACTTGTTCTAGTATAGAATAGCTTAGTGGATCAGGATATTGCTAAATTAAATCCCTTGTTACACTCGTTTAGTTCTGGACAGGATTTGAACGTTTAACACTTTCATCAGATCATTTCAATCATGCTTCATAGTTCATACCGAAATTACAATTAACCCATTCAAGCCTTGTATAAACAATAACGGACAGTATTCTGTGTTAGAAAAAATATATGTACTTCCAATCAAATCGTGCGATTGCCTTGGTACACAGGTGCACATTCTTTGATGCCCGAAACGCATTCCAAGCTCTAGATATCTGCCTTCAATAATGGCCATTAATCACATTTGCCAAAAAAACAGCTGCTTTGTAATGCTGGTGTGTCCCACTTAGTTTGATTGATTGATTGGGAACTGGGTTTTACTACCCCAGTTAATGTTTACTAAAAATAGATATTGAACAGCAATTTAAAATTGTAAATATACATATAAAAGTATGTATAAAGGCTGCACCAGCTGACTAAGAGTAATGAAACAGCGATCTCTGAACAAGATTCGCCTAAAACCAGATTAATCCCTTGAAAACTATACAGTTTTGTATAAGTGAAATAAAATGGTTAGATCCTTCGACAAAAACTAAGCACACAGAAGACAAATACTCATAGAGCTAAACTTTTTGATTTGCTCACAACACGAAAAATATTTAGAAACTCATTTTTGCCTCTCAAGGCTACAAATCTTCCCTTCACGAATGAAGAGTTTTTTGTCCTTCTCAATACCAGCTCTTCTTTTTAGCTCTAGGACAAGTTCTTTACGCTGAGCTCTCTCTTCTGCTGTACGATCTGGAGCTAGGAACACCCTCTTAAATCTCTCTGTTCCACACAGTTTACTCGACTTCTTCAGTATTTGTTGCACAATCGAAGAACTGGAAAAGGAAACTTTAACCGGTGTTGCAGCTGACGGTGATTTCTTGCCGATTCTACAAGCCTCAACTCGGGGTTTCTCTCCCAATGATTCCAATACTTCAGCGACTTTTGTATTGATCTCCTCATTGACCTCCTCGCATAGCCCAAAGACCATGATGTTCCTACCCAACTCCTCCTCCAAAGCAATTTGCTTGGCAACTGATTTAATGGATTCTGTAGAAATCGCAGCTGAGTTCTCGATACTACCGGATTTCACCACATCGCTAAAACTTTGTTTAACTGAACTGACTTCTTTCTGAACACCCTCAAAAAACTCAGTCTTGAGATGTTCGTTAAACTCTATCGCCTTAGAAAGTCCTTCTTTTGCAGATAATAGTTGCTCCTGTAGTTTTATAACTTGGTCCTGCAGCTGTATCATACCGGACTGATACTGACTAACGTGTACCCTCTGATTTATGATCATGTTATGCTGTCTCTCAATGAGCTGCATGGCCTGCAAAAACTTTGCCGCTAAATCCCCCTTGTTACCAATTTTGTTCACGCTCTCATGATTTAGTTCTTGAACACAATCGACTTTACACTGTTTCACGGTATCAAGTAGGAACTTTTGTCCATCGGTCTCTACTAAGTCAAATTTGAAACGTTCTGCTACTGTCGGCATATCGTTGATCAGTTATACACAGTGTATAGTATCCGTAAAACAAGCTGTAGCTGCGAGTATGAGATAGTTGTTGAGATGATAAGCGCTGCTGATAACAGAGGCACAAATTAGCAACGAAATAAAAGCGTGTATAACTGATTATCTTTGTTAAGCTGTAATATCGAACTCGAAGACCTGCTTCGTTATTATTTCTTGAAATGCAGGTATTTGAAGGTTTTGAAGCATTTTTTTTTCAATTAATCTATTTTCCTGGTGTAGAAACAGAGTCAGACCTAACTTGATGTATATTGTTTATTCTAATTAAAGTATATTTGAATTTAAAATATGAACTTCAAATATCATTATTTCTAGCTGAACCAGAATTTCCTTTGGGACGAGATGCTTTCCTGACAAACATTATTGTATGCTGATATAATAATTAACAACCGATCCTATGGGCTGAAATATGTAAGTACTTTGTTCAAGCTTGATGTGACCTTTTTTATCTTAGTATACTTATGACTGCTTTAGCTCAGCCTTTATAATAAAAGATAACCTCTTACCAAGCGATTGTGGAGAGAAATGACAGTCCTATTTACCATTACCATTTTACAACTATTTAACAGTACCACCAACTGACTGTAATTTTCAAGCAAGAATTATTACTGATGAAAACCCATTAAATACCTAAAACTGCGTTGTACAAACACACTTGTTTATTGATAGTTAACATTAAGGATGGTTGATGCCTGTTAAGTTCATTACAGTGGAGTTCCCACCTACGAGTGGTGGCTGAGAGGTGGCGCGCCTGAGAGGTGGCGCGGTGTATGCAGAGTATGATAATGTCAGCCTTGCCGCGGACGCGATAATTCAAACGTAATGAAAGCTAATGTCAGCTGCGCCGCAAGGCTGACATTATCATACTCTGCATACACCGCGCCACCTCTCAGGCGCGCCACCTTTACCACTCGTAGGTGGGAACTCCACTGTTATGCTCATCTACTTACCAGTTTATTTACAGTCAATTCTTATCATTGTGACTTTAGCAAGTGGATATTTTCAATGCAACATTTAAACATCGTTTTTAGGCAAGATTGGGCAATTTGGTTTTAATCACTGGATTGATCACCAAAAGTTACTTAATTGAATAATAATTTGAAACTAAATTATTTGAAATCACTGATTAAGTGCCATTGATTGAGTGAAGAAATCACAGATTAAGTGCCAGGATCATGTATCCGTGCCAGATCTTAAAATGGTCATAACTCGGCTTAGTTGTAAACAACGAACTTGAAGTTATAGGAAAGCACTTCAATTATCAAACCAAGTCCAAATGTGTCTGGAAATTTTGGAGTTCCTAACTCAAAACGTTCTCAATTTATGGTGACAATAGAGAAAAAGAGGGAGTGTACAACCCTATACAATCTCACTAGTGACAATATACCTTTAGAATTTTAGAAATAAGTGCTCTATATTCGTTTCCTCCTTCAAATAGTTGATTTGGTCATTTACTTTTGAAACACTGAGACAGTCTGAGTTCTTTAGCTTTGATCAGTATCTGATGAACGGTGCTAGAGTTTCAAAATGATACTTTGACAGCTCTGGGTTTTTCAGCAGACATATTCCCAATTTGAGCAGCTTCGAAGCGTGGCTTTTCTGCAATTTGTTCAAACACATCACAAATTTGATCGCCAAGTTTCTCTCCTGTATCCTCCTTGAGACTAAAAATGAAGACATTTCTGCAATCTGCTGCGATCTTCTTCAGCTACAACATTCCAAACTACTTTCTTCAAATTTTCTGCCGTGAAAGTGGAGACAGAGCTGGGGAAGGGTTTCCTCTGCATTTTTTGCTGATTTCTGAGCACTGGTGATTTCACTTTTCATTTCCTTTATCTTTTTATTCGTGGAGAATACGCTGATATTAGACAATACCCTAAAACGCAAGGTGCTTTACTAGAACGTCCTTGTTTGGTTTCTTGAACTTCTCGAATGTGATATCACTATCTTCATCAAAGTTTATTGTCTTCATTACCTCAACCCAAATACCAAGATCATTAGAAGCATCTGAAAGCTGGTCAAAATGTTTACTTGACTACATTAGAGAGTCTAAGTACACATCTTCCATATCGTACTCACAATTGAATAGCACCGGACACAAAGTAGCAGATAAGTCGTCGAATTATAGCAATAAGAGATGCACATGTAAGAAATGTAGTAAATCAAAGTTTTCACTTTTTAGTCCCCGTCGGATCACATGATTTCTCTCCGCATAGAATTGGTTCCCAATTAGTGGTTTTACAGTACCGTCGAGCTAGAATAAAGACTCCATATGAGTGTGTTACGTATTGTTAAGCTAGGATCTTAGCATTAAGCAATAAGGTGTCAGAGAGCTAAAAGATGACAGGGAGTGATAGACAAAGTTCGACCGGGATCCCGGTTTAATCCCGGATTTTTTGAAAAACTGAAGTTTAAAGCAAAATTATTTACCAATTAATAAACAAAACACTGTCTGAGTCAAGTGCCAATTTGTTGGGTAAGCTGTGCTTGTGCTTTTTATCAGTTGCGGATACCAGATTTTAGTGTAAGTGTTAAGTGCTGGTTTTCTTAGCTATGATCCCGGTCCCAAATCTGGCTGAATCCCGGTCCCGGCGTATACCTGGTTCCGGCACTCCTCTCCAGTCCCGGCCAAAAAAGCAGTCCCGGTCGATCCTTGGTGACAGAAGGGGCGGTAAATA